TCCTTTTTCTCCCAACACATTATTCTCTTCACCACTTAAACCTTCTCTATTCTTTCTCTCACTCTCAATCTCGAAATTCATCCAAGAAATACTCATATTCCAGCCAAGAACAATCTATTATACTCAAATCTTCATCCCTCTTGAAGCATTCATCAAGGTATGTTGTTAAAAGTTTCATATTCATACAAGAAACAAATTAAATCCACCAAAATATCTAAAACTCATTTTATGCATAAACCTGATTTTTTTCAGAATCCCATCAATAAAATAAGAAGTTCTGAAAATTTTCAGAAAATAAGTTATTTTTATTGAATTACTATAATTATTGCAATAAAGTAGGGCAATAATTCACATAAAATACTTTTTGCATTCAATAAATTCTGAGAAAATTCTGGGATGACCAATATATTGATTAAACATAATTTGTGAAGTTTCATGCATTTATATTACTGTTTACTATTATTTATGATTTTATTGATTAATTAATAATGAAATATATAAAAAAATACTTCCCATAGTCACAAATATCCGAAACTTATACACTGGGCTCTATATCATGTTATAAAACTATGGTTAATTTTACAGAATTTTTGGGAATAATTTATTATTTTTCCCGAATTTTGTTGTTGTTTAATCATTAAAGTATTAAATAAATACTAAAACAGTTCAGAAAAATATAAAAATTTTACAGTAATTAATATTGTATGGAATAATGATTTCCTAATAATTTCATAATTTTTCAATACTGTGTACTATTTAAAACCATTTTCCTAAGTATTTAAGCATGTAAAAATGCATTTTAATGATTATTTCATATAAATAATTGTTAAAATCTGTAAATAATTATAATTGGGCAAGTTATTATTTTAATAAGAAATTATTAAAATCTGGCCTAAATTGAAAATATAAATTAATTATGCAAAGTAATTAATTCAATTTAAAATTCATTTAACAAATGAATACCTTAATATTATAATCAAAATGAATTATTGTTAATTCATCTAATATAAGAATATGTGTCTAATTATTTGTATTAGTACTCTATTCTCGTTTAGCAGTTCCTAAACCAAAACTATTAATTATATTAGGTTCTATGCCATTTTGACCCGAACCGTCTATCGTACGACACACGCATTTCGTTTTGGGACTAAAATGAGTAATCTACCCAATATTTTATAATTTTCAATACTTTTGGGGTGTATCATGTGGTTCTAATATGTTCCAACTTCATTTTATTGTTTTATCACAATTGAGACATTGTTGGGACATTTATAAGTGAATCATTAATTGTATAACTATTGTTTGTTTACGCTACATGTACTTGTAGTGCATTATCATTTTTAGTCTAATCTCCATGACTATGCCCGTATTCTTGAGGTACGTTATGGACAATAATAGCGCTATTGGGTTGACCACCCCGCCTTGGGACGCTAAGGTGATTGATCGCACGTGGTTGAGTGTGTATGATGATTAGATGCTCCATCCTATATATATTTATATATATACATATGTATATATAGGGTGAGGACTTATTGTTGTTGTTATCATTTGTTAATCAATTTTTGATTTATAAACCGTTATCTCAAATACAATTGTTTGCCGACTTCAAAAGAAAACAAATTTCCAATTATAAAGGTTTCAACTTCACAATTTTCTCTACTAAAATTAGATTACTCACCAACTCTCGTAGTTGACCTGTTTTTACCCATGATGCAGATTTGAAGAATGAAGTTGATGAAAAATAGGTTGTGCCTTAGAAATCCACAAGACTATTTAAATTTGATGTAATAAATGTTGTTCGTATTTGGATTTGTATTTGTATGCTGTGGATCTTGTTTGCATACTTAGTACTTAATTGAATCTAATCATATTATAACATAGTTGTCATGAGACTTTGAACAATATATCACGCCTCGATCGATTCCGACAAGGATCGGGGTGTGACACGAAATACCTGAGTGGAAGTGGGAGCAGATTTCCATGGATTTCATAACCAAACTACCCAAGACGCAGGGTGGTCACGATACCATTTGGGTGATCGTCGACGGGTTAACCAAATCTGCCCACTTCTTGTCGATCAAAGAGACCGATAAGATGGAGAAACTAGCAAGAACCTACATCCGAGAGATTGTGCGCCTTCATGGAGTGCTGATATCTAGCATCTCGGACAGAGACAATAGATTCACTTCAAGGTTCTAGCAAACGCTACAGAAGGCCTTAGGCACTAGGCTAGATATGAGTACCGCCTATCACCCACAAACTGACGGACAGAGTGAGAGAACGATCCAAACCCTAGAATACATGTTGCGGGCATGTGTAATTGACTTTGGTAAAGCATGGGACATCCACTTACCATTAGTCGAGTTCTCTTATAACAACAGTTATCATACTAGCATCAAGACTGCTCCATTTGAAGCCCTTTACGACCGCAAGTGCAGATCACCTCTGTGCTGGGCGGAAGTAGGCGACACGCAGTTGGCGAGAGGTCTAGTCCCTGATAGCACTCTCACTGGTCCGGAGATCATTAGGGAAACGACTGAAAAGATCGTTCAAATTCGAGACCGACTGAAAGCCTCGAGGGATAGACAAAAGAGCTATGCTGACAAAAGACGAAAACCCTTGGAATTTCAGGTTGGTGACCGTGTGCTAGTGAAGGTCTCACCCTGGAAGGGCATGATACGCTTCGGGAAGCGTGGAAAACTAAACCCAAGATACATTGGACCCTTCGAAATTACTACAAGGATTGGTCCAGTAGCTTATAGACTTCAACTTCCAATCGAACTTAACAAAGTGCATCCGGTGTTTCACGTGTCTAACCTAAAGAAGTGTCTATCCGACGAGACTCTTGTAATTCCACTCGAGGAAATCAAACTAAATGAAAATCTTAACTTTGTGGAAGAACCCGTCGAGATCATGGATAGGGAAATCAAACGAACTAAACAGAGTCGCATACCAATAGTGAAGGTTCGCTGGAATGCTAAGTGGGGACCTGAATTCACTTGGGAGCGAGAAGATCAAATGCAACAGAAGTACCCGCATCTCTTCCCTAGTCCATAAGCACTTATTTTGTAATTAATTTCGGTACGAAATTCCCTCTAACGGGGGGATGATGTAACAACCCGTTATTTGAAGTCAATGTAATGACTGGAAGTCAACTATTGTAATATCTTTGTGAATTAATAGAAATAGCGTCAAAAATGAAATGTTCAAAAAGCTCAGTTTGAGTATAATAAGTAGTAGATATCGTAACAAGGTTTCCAAAAATATAAAGAACACTAAAATCCGAGTTATAACGAAGAAGTTATGACCAATCGAAGATCCGTAACAATACCGGTAAAACGTTGTTAAGCATAAAACGAGAAATTTCAACAAAATACTCTTTAGCCTTAAGTATCTAAATGAAAGTCGTAGATATCCCTAAACCGTGAACATACATAAAAAGGACGCCCAAATCTAACTTTGTATGAGGAAGTTATGATTTTTCGAAGTTTCGGATACAACAGTAGACAGCTAAAAACTCGAATTAGAGATCGAGCGACTTTTGGCCAACGCAATCTCAACGAGAATCGAAGGTCTCGACAATAGTAATACAACGGTAAAAAGACAGACGAAAACGGACGTCGGATGAAGAAGTTATGGATTTTTAACGGACTTTTCCAGTCCCGGCCTGTTAAAAATATATTATTAAAAATAAAGAAAAAATTAGCCGATGAAGTCTAAATGAGAGTTGTAGAGTATATTATCACCTTCACGTGCATATAAAGAACGTCGAAAACGGAGCTTGTACGCGAAAGTTACGCATTTTACAAGATCGAGGCACAAAACCCGAGGCAGGTCTGAGGGAACGCCCTGCGTTCGTGAGTGCCCCCAGCACTATAAAAGGGAGTCTAGGGCTCCGGGTTTGGTTGCTATTCTCTCACCATTTCCTCCACCGAACACCTCTCGAGTCCCTCTAAGATTACCAGGAAGCCCCGGTATTATCCCTAGCACGCAACGCAAGTCCCGACGCTCCCGAGATTCCCGAGAAGTCAGCTTTCTCCAGTCGAAGTTCTGCTCGATTATTGTCTCAACTTCTTCAAGCTACCACTTCAACCAAGTGAGTTCATACCCCTATAACTACGTTTTAAAATACCTTTTTAAATGCTTTTAAAGGGGGGGAAATACAAGTAAACACACGACTAAAAATCGTGTGAAACGTCAATCTTTGATATACTTTTCATACTGTTGTTTTAACTATCTTATTAAGTTATCATCATGCAAAATGTCTTACTACACAACCTTACTCTCTTGGGAAACAACATGCTTTATAAATGAAATACGTTTTGTTTATGAGTTTGCATATTATATCATATCAAGAGTAAACATTTCAACTACAACATTTTGCATTCACAAGAACATATCAATCTCTATTATGCCTTTGTTAATATCATTGAAAAGGATAATCATTTCAGAAGCAAATGCATTCATTTTAATACGGGACTTAATTGAGAATCCGTGAGACATTCGTCTTCACTATACCTTTTAAGGTATCGCTATAAGTCCTGTTTATAACCAGAATCTCCCGTCCGGAGAACGTGACAAGTGTGTATAGATCTATACGGGACTAATGATCTCGCATCCTGACTGTTTGCTACAGTCCTTTGGGTGACAAGTGTCATCTCATTTCGACGCCTGAAGAACGTCGCTACAGGAAAAATATGATAGTATGGTTATGAAAACTCACTGGATACACAATTATTATGGTATTACGTTTTCACGGGAAAAGTAACTTTTATAGTTCTTTTCACATACAAATACAATCTTCTTATAGTTTTATTTTATAATAAGACTATACATCATTCATTTAAGCATGTCACTGTTGCTTACAGGTTACGGTCTTGGTCATTGAGACTGCATTTCACATTTAGGAAAATAAGAGTTTTTCATGTTTCAAATACATATGGTTTATACAACGATATTTCATACTCATTCCACACATTTATAAGAAAATATCGGATTTTCTGGAAAACATACACGAACTTTCGAATGGCATACATTCTCTCAAAGCACTACTTATGAACTCACCAACTTAATTATTGACATTTTTTCTTGAAATAACTTGTATTCTCAGGGAACTGCTAAGCCAGGTTTGCAACAACTTTTGGGGATTAACGCTCTGGCGTTAATAACTTCTTTTGGAACATGATTATATATTTAACTATTGAACATGTAACAGTTACAATCATGTAAACTTTTTGAAATATATTATATGGTGGTGTGTACTTTCTTTACTATGGAATTGTTATGATACTGAATATGACGTCCTCCGCCCCCGAACGTTTCCGCCGTTCAAGTTTGGGGGCGTGACAAAATTGTTCCCGGCGTAACCACCAACGGAAAAGACTATGACGGGTACATTGTGAGTTTTGGTGCATGTGGGCATGGTTTCAATTTTTTCTTGGATCACTTTGATAGTAAAGTTTGTTACACGTTCCATTGCACTTATGTCGCCTTTACGAGCATAAGGCTTTATTGTCCATGAGGCATTTTTGCCATGCGAAGATAACACGAAAATGGTGGAAGAATTCCCTTGAATTCTTACATCGCCCTTCATCTCGCAAGTATCTGATCTTTGTTTTGAGGTGTTGCAGATTTGATTCGTTTCTTCTATTTCAACATCTAATAAAAAAAATGAAAGTTAATTTTTTTGTTGGATCATCTATTGCTAAAAAAAATTTAAAAAAATTATTGGCATGATTTTCAATATTTGACAAAATGCTTAGACTTACAAGATTCCAAGGGTTTGGTAGCTCTTTCGGAAATCATCACCAATTTGAGCCCATCAACCAACGTCAACCTAAGATTCGCTATGACAAAACCACAAAATTCAACTCATATATATATATATATATATATATATATATATACTAGGTTATAACCCGTGGAATCCACAGTCAGTATAATTAAAAGTTTTATATAAACAAACAAAATTAATAACTATAAAAAAAGTCATCAGATTATCGAATATAAGTAATCATGAATTAATTTGATATGTAAAATAAATATAATACTTTATTTATAAAATAAAAATAATGAACACAGTTAAATGTTATAATAAAATGTATCAAAAAAATAATGAAAACTTCAAAATGTATTAATTGAAAATTTATGACAATTGTTTTTTATATTAATATTTTAATTGATCGATAAAGTATTGGTTTTGTTTATTATAAATTTATAAAACATACACAATTCTTTAAAAACATGTAGTAAAGATAAAAAAAATGGAGACTATCATCATTCTCATTCATGTTAAAAACATGTGTGGTTGTTGAATTTTGAATGTAGTAGAATTATTTTTGGATTTTCTACTATCTAAATATGATATTTCTAATTTTTTTTTCATTTTAACATGCCTATAGTCCATATTGTTCTTTGAATCTGCAAAAAAATAATAATGATATTAAAAAAAATCATTTGTAAACATGTTATAAAATATGAATGAATTAAATTAAAGATTTGTAAAACAATATTAATTCGTAAACATGTTCTAAAATAGGAATGAATAACATTAAAAATTGCAAAAAAATAATAATGATATTAAAAAAAATCATTTGTAAACATGTTATAAAATATGAATGAATTAAATTAAAAATTTGTAAAACAATATTAATTCGTAAACATGTTCTAAAATAGGAATGAATAACATTAAACATTTCTAAAACATGTTATAAGGTTGATGGTATGATCCCTAAACTTTTATCACGTATAATATCATGTGCGATTTGGTATATCATGTAAATTTGTATATATTTAAAAAAAATAGAATTATAAGTTAGTTTTATATGGATTTAACATAGCTATATATGACATATAATTAATTATATAACAAAAATAAAACTTAAATTAAAAATATTAGTAAAAGAGTGTTTATAAATTTCATTTTAAAAAGTTTACCTTATACATGAAATACAATTTTTTTTATGAACTCAAATAAACGATTCAATATAATATGATATTTTAACAAATATCCCTTGAAAATAAATTTGTATACACACATAAATATATATGTGAAATATCTAAACTCAATTTATGGACGACTTATATAAAATCTTGAACATTTGAAATAGCCCAAATTTCCTCATTTACTCCATTATAATTTTGTGCCTAATTAATTTTAATTACTTCAAATAATTCAAACTATTTTGTTTGACATAGACTCATAGACTACCGATTCCCTTCACAATTTTCTGCCGCTCACCCCCAAAAAATGCCTAGAACCTACAATATACTCCCTTCACTTCAATCACCCATATGGGTTCTTTTTTAAATCTCTTTTCCCCTTTCTCTTTTGTATCTCTTCTCACCGCCATTAATACTCTGATTCTCGGAACAAATAGTGCAACAGGTCTGAGATGTTATTTTTTCTTACAATCTTATTTAGATTCCCTACTTTTGTATACCCACAACCTACGATCTTCTGAAGAACATCGATAATATATAGATGCACCGGTGAAAATAAGATTTTCAAAACAATATAAAGACTAAGTCAAGTATCTGATTTTGAAGATATGTTGTTCAAGAGCAAAGATGAGGTGGAGATTGACAGAACAAATAAGTAGAGCTGACGAAGAGGCCAACAATGGTGCCAGACGGAGATCTGGAGAAACGTATTGGATAGCGACAGCGGCCGATTGTAATAGTGCTTTCACTTAGGAATCTACGACTCACGAAGAGGGTGGAATCGAAGAGACGGGATCACAACACAAAGGGATCGACAATGCAGGAATGTATCTCAGAAAAAGGTATTTAGTTTTTTTTTGATTGAGGGTTATAAGTATATTGGAATAAATAGAGTTTTACAAAATTTTAAATATCCCTTTCAAAAATGAAAATGCAGTTTTCAAAAATTTGATTGAGGGTTATAAGTATATTGGCATATTTCTTGTTTATGTAATTTCATTTCCAATTAAATTTCCGGCTTTGTTTATTTGAAGGATCTTACAATCTTGGAGAGATTTAATGATATTATGTGTATTTTCATATATTTTTTTAGGTTTCACATAAAAAAGTTATTTGAATCAGTGAAAACATAATGTGGGTGTTAGTTTAAAGTTCAATTCCGAAAATATTTGAACCAAAATAGTAATTGTTTGATGTAATTTGGCAAGAAACTAACAAATTATTGTATTAGACCAAATCATGCTATATCTCTTAAAGGAGGTTTCATAGTTAGCGAGATTTATATCTTTTTTAAGTACATTGTTATATTAGAATAGAGAAAAAAATGAAATAAAAAATCCTCTTTGTTTCGATATATGTGCAAAGTAGGATGTTCTAATTTGTGAAGGTAAGAAATTAAAAACAAAGAAATAGAAAAAGGGTATTATTTGAAATGTTAAAATAGAGAGATTGCAACAGATTCTGTGGTGGCTGGAACAGTTTCAAAAACAAAACAAAGAGACACAACCATAATAATTGGGAAAGGGTATTATTTGAATTGTTAAAAGTAAAGAGTAACAAAAAAATTATAAAATATTGTTACACAAATATCTAAAGTACAATGATACAATTGGATGTTAGCACAAAAGGTAAACAATGCTATTAGTTTGCATTTTATAGAATTTTCAAAGTGTGACAGAAATGAAATGGTACCTATTTTCATATATTTACAGGTTTGATAGAAATTTAAAGTAGGATACTATTTTAACATAATTTAAAACTGTAAAGTACGTTGCTATATTAGGGTAGAGAAAAAAATGAAAAAAAATCCACTTTATTGAAACATAAAGTATAAACAGTAGGAAAAAAACAATATTGTACTTTATTTAGATGGAACATATATAACATTACGGTTTACCCTTTTATTTAAAAGAAATATATACATATCATGAAAAATTACAATGTTACCCTTTGAGAGATTACCTTTGATTGTTATAAAGTAACATGGTATAAAAGGATTGTTTTTAAAGCTACAATGCTATATTTATAGTTTATTTATGTAGAAAAGTATTTCATTTAAAAAAGACCGCATAATAGTTTAAAAAATATGTCAGCAATATGATTTATTTATTAAAATATGATTTTTTTAGGTGTTTCTAGTATAGATAATTGAAATACAACATTGCATAACATGAAATCGTTATGCGCATTACATAAAATTACTATTTCAGAATGCTTAACAACTAATAGTTTATAAAAATTCAAATAGGAAAAAGAATCATTACATGATTACACATGCACAAACAACTAACATTGGTAAAAATCGAAACAGATCAGATAATTATTAGTGTTGATTGAAGATGTACTAACCTGATTTTCTTTGATGTATCTCTTGCAGAAATGTGATGATTGAAGATTTGAAAGCATTTTTTCTGAATAATAATGAAGGTGTCGTTGTTTTCATATGAAGTTTAAATGGAGAATGAGCTATATAATAGGTAGTTTTAGGTATGCACGATAATAAAATCCCAGATTTTATGGGATAAATTAAAAACCTGACATATTTAATTGCAATTTTGTTTGAATCGGTATAAATCAAAATTTGAAAAGCAAAATTTGAAAATCCCAGATTTTATGGGATAAATCAAAATTTTAAAAGCAATTGATTTGTTACCAAAAAATGTGGATCAATGTAGATGTGTTATGGTGGACGATTTTTATGAAAATGCCTTAGAAATATGACATGTGGCAAAACATCTTAGAATAGGGACAAGTGGCATAATAAGGTTTTGTTTATTAGAGGAGGTATATATATATATATATATATATATATATATATATATATATATATATATATATATATATATATATATATATATACTAGGTGTAAAACCCGTGTATTACACGGGTTTATTAAAAAAAATTAATATGAAATTTTGAATATCAAAAAATTATTAAAGTAATACTTTTACATATAAGCAACGACTTTATTAAGTAAGTATGTAATTAAACCCAAATTGCTAAAAATTAGTAATGAAATATTATAATTGTTAAAAATCAAAAATTTCCAAATACTTTTTTGAATACAACATTAGATGTCTTATTGCTAAGGTTACTTTCATTGTCTAAAATTAATATTTTCAATTCGTCTATGCTTTTAACTCTGGACAGTGCAACATACAACTGCTGATTCGTAAACACTGGTTGTCTAAAAAACAAATCAATCGTTGATAGCGACTGTCATTGACTTTTGTTTATTGTCATCGCAAAACATACAACAAGTAGAAATTGTCTTTTCTGAAATGTGAAAGGAATCATTTTATCTGAAGGGGTCAATGACATTCTTGGAATAAATGTACGATTTCATATATTATTTCCAGAAATTATCTCTGCTTCTATAACATACTTACCCAATGCTATAACTCGTAGCCTCGTCCCGTTTCACAATTAATGGGTTAAAATTTGACCTCTTTTCCCCTTTTTTGTCATGTCAACCCAATTAATGGGTTAAAAGCTTGGCTAATATTTTGTTCTTTTTTAATAGAAAAAATAATAGAAAAAAAACCAATATACCCAAATTGCCCTTGCATTCTCCATTTCTGTTTATTTTAAGTTTTATAAAGACAAAGTTTCATCTTTTGGTTTTTTACCTTTACTCATAGAAACATACACACAACAAAGTAAGTTGCTTGATTTTGTTTATTTAAAATGGGAAAAATTTTACTTTATAATAACAATGACAATATTCCCTATTTATTTACAACACATACACACATTTCATACAATTGGCATGACAAATACAGAGAAATATAGAATTACATATACGGGCGATCGAAATTTGCCAATTTCAAAAAAAAACAAAAATCAAACAACATACTTTGGTTTGTTTATGTTTCTATGAGTACAGGGTAAAAACAAAAAAAAATGAAAACAATTATTAAAGGCAATAAAAGTTGGTTGCTAAATATTTAATTAAAATACATGAATATAAAATACATATTGTATAATAAATCCTCATTAACCCCGTGTTAAATAAATGACACCATTTAGACCGGATCAGATCACTACTAAGAGCAACATTTTTTAAATATAATGTTTTACTTTTATACATTTATATAAAATTAAGTTATTTCAGTATTCTACTTTCGATCACCCATAATCACAAAATAAGGTCACAAGCAGAAAGTTTGATTTTCTTAAATAAGTCCCATTTTAACATTATACCTACTAAACCGTTAAGTTGAAAAATTCAGAGTCAAAATGACCTTATTTTGACCCAAAAGACCTTTTTGTCCAATTTGGTCATTTTTACTGTTTTTTTTCCTTAATTTGTCAACTTAAACATAAAAATAGCAATACACTGATATGAAAAAATTAAAACAAAAAATATAATTTTTTTTTCATAATTGTCATTTTTGACAAATTTCCTCCTTTTTTAGTGTCTGTATAGTTTAAAAGTTTGGCTAATGTTCGTTGTTCTATAATAATAAAAATTTTTATATTTTTTGTTTTAATTTTTTCATATCAGTGTATTGCTATTTTCATGTTTAAGTTGACAAATTAAGGAAAAAAAACAGTAAAAATGACCAAATTGGACAAAAAGGTCTTTTGGGTCAAAATAAGGTCATTTTGACTCTGAATTTTTCAACTTAACGGTTTAGTAGGTATAATGTTAAAATGGGACTTATTTAAGAAAATCAAACTTTCTGCTTGTGACCTTATTTTGTGATTATGGGTGATCGAAAGTAGAATACTGAATAACTTAATTTTATATAAATGTATAAAAGTAAAACATTATATTTAAAAAATGTTGCTCTTAGTAGTGATCTGATCCGGTCTAAATGGTGTCATTTATTTAACACGGGGTTAATGAGGATTTATTATACAATATGTATTTTATATTCATGTATTTTAATTAAATATTTAGCAACCAACTTTTATTGCCTTTAATAATTGTTTTCATTTTTTTTTGTTTTTACCCTGTACTCATAGAAACATAAACAAACCAAAGTATGTTGTTTGATTTTTGTTTTTTTTTGAAATTGGCAAATTTCGATCGCCCGTATATGTAATTCTATATTTCTCTGTATTTGTCATGCCAATTGTATGAAATGTGTGTATGTGTTGTAAATAAATAGGGAATATTGTCATTGTTATTATAAAGTAAAATTTTTCCCATTTTAAATAAACAAAATCAAGCAACTTACTTTGTTGTGTGTATGTTTCTATGAGTAAAGGTAAAAAACCAAAAGATGAAACTTTGTCTTTATAAAACTTAAAATAAACAGAAATGGAGAATGCAAGGGCAATTTGGGTATATTGGTTTTTTTTCTATTATTTTTTCTATTAAAAAAGAACAAAATATTAGCCAAGCTTTTAACCCATTCATTGGGTTGACATGACAAAAAAGGGGAAAAGAGGTCAAATTTTAACCCATTAATTGTGAAACGGGACGAGGCTACGAGTTATAGCATTGGGTAAGTATGTTATAGAAGCAGAGATAATTTCTGGAAATAATATATGAAATCGTACATTTATTCCAAGAATGTCATTGACCCCTTCAGATAAAATGATTCCTTTCACATTTCAGAAAAGACAATTTCTACTTGTTGTATGTTTTGCGATGACAATAAACAAAAGTCAATGACAGTCGCTATCAACGATTGGTTTGTTTTTTAGACAACCAGTGTTTACGAATCAGCAGTTGTATGTTGCACTGTCCAGAGTTAAAAGCATAGACGAATTGAAAATATTAATTTTAGACAATGAAAGTAACCTTAGCAATAAGACATCTAATGTTGTATTCAAAAAAGTATTTGAAAATTTTTGATTTTGAACAATTATAATATTTCATTACTAAGTTTTAGCAATTTGGGTTTAATTACATACTTACTTAATAAAGTCTTTGCTTATATGTAAAAGTATTACTTTAATAATTTCTTGATGTTCAAAATTTCATATTAATTTTTTTTTAATAAACCCGTGTAATACACGGGTCTTACACCTAGTTTAATAATAAAAGGGGAAGCACAAATATAATCATATGTGGAAATTATATGATCATATGTGGAAATAGATTTTAAAAAAAGGGCATATACATAACAGAGGGATTTACCTGGAGAATACATTTAATAATAAAAGGGAAAACACAGATATGTTAACATATGATTATATTTACAGTCATTATGGTACACATCTTTAAATATAATCATATGTGGAAACACATTTAATAAAATAAACATTATGCAATTTTAGCAAGTTTACCTTTCTGCCCCTGATATGTTAAAATATGATTATATTTAAAGTACTTATATGCTCCTGGACTAATAAGAGGACGATTAGATGATAATTATGCCCATAAAGTGGAATATGGGTTGATAACTTTTAATCACAATAAAATGCTAAATTAATAGGTTAAAATTGAAAGTAAGATGCTCTTATGGGTAAAAACGATTTAATTTTTAAAATTTTACAGAAATATCCCTGTCTAATAGAATATTTACAAATTATGATCCATGTAAAGTTGGGTAGTATCATCGTAGTTATAAATATAAGAAATTTATTTTAGTAAATATATTTTTAATAAGTTTAAATTAAAATTCTAATATCTAACATAGGTTATAGACAAATAATTTGGTTGAAATTAGCAATGATTTTGGTGAATCTGTCACTATTGTTGCAATTTAATCAAATTTAATGTCGGGTTATGCATAAAATCTTAATGATTTTTAATTTTTTGATATTCAAAAGTTGTTGTCTTCGTTCTACCTTTCGCACAACGTAAAAGTTCAAGGCCTTCTTTTGTTTGACTAACTTAGATAGCTTCCAAACATACTACACACGTGAACAATTGTAACATCATTTTGATACAAACTTCAGTGATTTGTACATAATACTTTTTGATTCCTATGACATGTTTTTTTGTATACGGTACAACCCTCTAAAATAAAAATCGAAGTGTATGGATAAAAGTTGTGTACAAATCACTTCGCTGATACAAAACCTCCAATGTGTTGGCCATCATTTTTACTGCTAGTGTGCAACCTTTAACTTACATACTAATGGTACTTAAGTTGAAGTATAACTATGCTTCCTCTTACATAATGTAAAACAAAATACTTGAATTTAAAAAAAAAACTGAATATAGTGAACCTCACATGAAATACAACGAATGAATGGCTTGTCGAACACAATATCATATAAACATAAATTTCAAGGTGTAGGAATGATGCACTCATACACTAACATGAATAGATAATCAGAACAAAAAAAACATTAAAGCCCATGTGTAAACAGTCTAAAATCAACGATGGATTACACACAAACTTTAACAAATTTTTGTTTTCACCCCACCTTCGTATATCGTAAAAATTCAAAGTCTTCCTTTGTTTTACCAACTTATACACTTTCAACTGAAAATACTTTTGTTGTGGATTCCACATTCTCAAACTCAAACTCAGTCAT